CTATAAAGCTCTGAGTTAATTAGACTTTAGTCTAATCTTGTATTAAAAGTGAATGGGTAAGAATGTTTTTTTAAAAGACTGTTTAAAATAAAAACATTTGAAATTAAAATAGTAACTAGATTCTTAATAGATTTTTTACTATACAATTAAAATAATAAATGTCCTTGTTCCATTTAAAATCACATTTTAAAAACAATTAAAATGGTGTTTCTTAAACTGTGAACATGACCTATTAGTGGGGTCTGGTCAACATTTTTCCTTAATGAAAGAGTATACAGTACCTCACACTTTTAAGGGTAAGAACATTTTGTAAAATTCTTGTTTCAGTTGTGTGTGAATGCAAGTTGGGGAAATTATATAAAATTTATGTCTGTGCATCACAATGGGAACATGTATAAAAGTCACTCATCTAAGACTTTGGGAAGTAGTCAAACACATAAGAGGATTTTTAGGAGGGCAAGAGTGAGTTCCTACAGTTCTCCAATCGCCAAGTTACTAGAGAACCAGCAGAACCCTAGAGGAGTGGGGAGGAAAATGTCACAAGCTATATTCAAGGTAGGAACTTCGGCACAAAGAAATGAAGCAAGATCCCAACCACTACACACAGGAGCTAAAGACACAAGAGGGCCAGCTGATACATAACAAGACTGAGTTACTGCACCTACATCAAGAGAGCCACCCACAAGCTACCCCACAGCTTTGGGTGATGAATGAATGAGCCGGAGGCAAGGATCCACTTGGCTTTCAGCTGGAATCTCAAAGGAAAGTCTTAGATTTTCTATAACCTCTTTTGATTACCTCTTTAACCCATGAAAGTGCTGTAAGGTATTAAGCACTGTAAAAGTATTGTAAAAATGTCACACTGACTATTTTTCCACACCTGTAGATTCCCGATGCCTCTCCAAACAGCTGTTGTTCCAAATGCAGTTAATAACCTTTTAGTGCTGCCTCACAGAGAGAAGGACCTGCTGCGAGACAACTGCACACACAATCCTGTGCCTTTTCATGTCAATGGACCACACAATGCCTTCGAAAGAAACAAATCCTTGGTTTAAGGATTCAATCAAATCCTTGGTTTATGAATTCAATCAAATATCATATAGGGTTAATTACTGGATAGACAACACATATCTTAACTATTACAAATGATAGTCAAAAATTAATTAATGTAGTCTGTAATATCAATAGACTAAAAAAGAAGAATCATGGGATAATCTCAATAAATTCATGAGAATACTTGAAAAAAATTAATATTTGTTCATGATAAAACAATTTCCCCCTAAACTAGGAATAAAATTAATTTCCCTCTACTGACGACAGGCATCTCCAAAAAACTAAATAAAGAGTGAAGACATTCCTGCTAGGACCAGGAAAAAAGCAGTCTCACCACTCCTAGTCATCTGATGGACAGTCCTAGCCAGTGCAAAAGGCAAGAGAAAGAAATAAAATACATAGAGATCAGAGTGGAAGATGTAAAACTGTCTATATTCACAGATGATTGTACATGTAAAAATGTCAAAAAATCTGAAAAAATATACTAAAACTAATATAAGTTATTTTGGCAGGCTTGTTAGAAATATGGTGAATATACAACATTACTTTTTCATATACTAGCAATTAACATTTAGAAATTAAGACATTAAAAATACCATTCATGATAGCATCCAAAAGCATGTGATACTTAGAGATAAAGTCAATGAACAATGTGTAAGACCCACTCACTGATAACTATAAATACCACTAAGAGTAACTGAAGAAAAAAACAAATCATAGTATGGAAAAACATACTATGTTCAGGAACCAAAGACTTATCATTAACATGATTATTCTTTCTAAATTAATCTACTGTATATATTCAACTCATTCTAATCAAAATCTCTGCATGTGTTTTGTAAAAATTGTCAAGCTGATTCTAAAATTTAAATGGAAATGCAAAGGATGTAAAATACCCAAATCAATTCTGAAAAAAGAATAAAATTGAAAGGATCCCAAGACCTAATTTTAATACTTATTATAAAGCTACAATAATCAAGAAACTGAACATAGACCTAATGTGAAAAGTTAAATGTGAAAATTTTTATTAGAAAATATTTTTGACCTTCAGATAAAGACTTCTCAATTAGGATACAAAACAATGAATTATGATACCAATAAAAGGATAAAATATACTTCATAAAATTTTAATCTACAAAAGATACCTTCAAGTAAACAAAATGTCAATTCATAGGAAAAAAGTCATAATATACACATCTGATGAAGGACTTGTATTCAGAATACATAAAGAACTATTAAATTCAACCATAAGAAGATAATACAATTTTTAAAATGTGCAAAGGATTTGTTACTCTACAAAGGAAGATACACAAGTGTCCAATACATACATGTAAAAATAATCAAATATCATTAGTTATCAGAGAAATGCAAATTAAAACCACAATGAAGTGCCACTACTCTGTATCACTTGAAGAGCTAATATTTTTTTTAAAAAACTGATTATACCAAGTGTTGACAAGAATATGGACCAACTGGAACTATCATACTTTTCTGTTGGAGATGTAAAATGTTGTCAGCAATTTGAAACTTGTAGGGAAATTATATTTATAAAAGTTATATATCATGTAACCCTGCAATGCCACTCTTAGGTTATTTTCTCAAGAAAAATGAAAACATCTATCAATAGACTTGCATGTGAATGTTCATAGCAGCTTAATAATTGTTAATAACAGCCCAAAAATGGGAATAACCTGACTGCCGCTCATCAGTGGGTGGGTAGACAAAACAAAAAAAAACAAAACAAAACAAAAAAACCATAGTATATTCAAACAATGGGATATTACCCAGAGATAAAAAAAGGAACAAGCTATGGATACACCCAGTGACATGAATAAATCTCAAAACACATGCCAAGTGAAAGAAACCAAATGCAAAAGTAGGTACCTTATGACTTCTTTTATGTGAAACTTTAGGAAAAAAAATAAATCTATTGACACAGATGGAAAATAAATCAGTCATCTGGCTTTAATGAAAGTGGGGATTGACAGATCATTTTGAGGTAATGGAACTGTGGTAGTGGGTGTACATATGTGTCAAAATTCATCAAATTGTTCACTTAAAATGAGTGTGTTTCATTATATCTAAATTAACCTCAATAAAATTGGTTTTAAAAATGAAAGACTGGTTCCTGACCACACTTGAGAGAAGGGTATCGACTTATTCATAGTCAGGCTGAGTTTTCATTGGGCTGGGAAGAACCTACGTACCAGATGCTCTAAGTACTTTTAATTTGCCCAGATACCCATGAACCACTTTGTTCTCCAAGCCCTTTTATTGCAGTGTAAGTACTGTTTTATACCCCTACTGAGTGGCAGACTGCTGTCTTGCAAGTAATTCATTATTTGGAAGGCATATTTAAGAGACAGCTACCACAGACTAACAAGGAGACATCCTTCCTCTACTTAATCTTTTGGATCTTGGTCATGGGTTACACTAACATCAAATATAGGGAGCTTTCACTGCAGGGTGTCTGTGGCCCACAGGTGACTGGGGCGGGGGAAATGTCCAGAATAGATGCCAGATCACTACCACACCAAGGACTCTATGGGATCTGAGAGAGAGTAAATGTAGTCCAAAAAGCAAGACTGCAGGGAACAGGATGAAATATGCCAAGTATAACTTCTGAGGTTGCAATACATAGGTAACGCCTCATAGCACAGTCTTTCCCAGAGAGCAGGACAAGTGCCAGTGGCAGTACATGAAAGGCCTGTAAGGATTCTGGAGATGAGTCGGAATGGCAAACCAGACAAGACAGCACACAACACGATCATTTTTCTGGTTCTCTTAATTTTTTCTGATTATGTATCAAAAAGCCTCATTTCATGCTCGTATGCATTTAACACCTCTTTATTCTCACTTTTAAACAACAAAGAAATACAAAATATACCTACCTGTAATGCAGAAATATGTTTAATTTTTATGTAGTTACCTATTTATGGCAAGTAAACTGCTTTTCATCTGTGGTAATGATTCCAAGGTTCTGAATAAAACAAATGTTTTTCAGTAAAAAAAAAAAGGGAGGATAGCCCATTTATTTTAAAAATAGGTTAAAATACTATAATGGGATATTGATATGGAGATATACAAACACCTGAGATTGGATAGCAGTACCTTAAAATGTTAATGTATAAGAAAGGATATGTGTCTGTATATAGATACTAATATACCAATAAGCTCTGAATTATTGCTCTATTAATAAGTATTGAAAAGAGTCATTAACATGATGTTTTCATGTCATAAGTGAGTTTTTAATTTGAATTACTTGTGCATTAATGTCTCCCCAAATTTTGGATCCCAGACTGCTGACCAAAGGTGAGGTGAAGATTTTCGGCATCTTATAAATTGGGATAAAGCACCATGAAATTGGGGAAAAGCAAAAATATATCTGAACGACAATATCTTTCTGCTAATGAATGTTCTCACATGAATGTGGGCACATAAAGAAGCCATGCAATTGAACAACAATAAAAAAGGGGAAAAAATAAAAAATAAATAAAATAAAATCTTGAAAAAAAGAAGCTGTGCAGAAGGTATCCATAAAAAAAAAGATTCTGTCTCCATAAAAGTTGCAAACCTATCATTTCTTTAGTTTCATTCTTTTCTTTCTTTTTTCTTTTCCTGGTGTACATTAATATGTCTTTCCTTTAAAAGAGGTCATAAAAACTTACATTTACTTTAGGTCTATTAATCACTGCCAAAAATGCAAGTAGCATGGACAAATTTTTCAAAACTATAATGCTGTTGTCAAGGTTTTGACAGTCTTGAACAACTTTAAAAAATCAGCCTCAGCTAGGTTTTAGAGAATTTTACCACACCAAAGGGAAAAAAAAGAGAGAGAGAGAGAATTGTAAAACAGATTGTATTTAAAGAAACAAAAACCAGGTTGATCTCTACCATGTGCATGATTTCCCAAGAACATTTGGAATGAACAGAGATAAACCCCTTACCTGTTGGAAGGTGCAGTGTTATGTTGTTGCAGAAATCCGTGAAGCAGCATTCAGTTTTGGTAACGTTGTTGGAACTGTGACAGAAGACTTGAGCATTTAACTCTGGGAGAGACACACAGGACTTGATCACCTGTTCTTTTCCATTGGTTAGCATAACTGAAGCCCAACATGCTCCTTCAGTGTGGCAGGTGAAGTTTGAAGAGTCACACAAAAGACATACACACTTTAGTCCTGGAACGTATAAGGCAAAAAATGCTTTAACATACAAAAGATCTTCATCATGAAAATTTGTTTCATAATACTTAAGCGTAGAAATTCAGTCTTAATGAAAATTGAGATAGGGATTAAATAAACAACAGTGGATAAACACATGCTAAACATATTAACTCCCTCTCAGAAACATGTTTCGTTAAACAGGTGGCCCAATCATCATTTATTTTCCTTGTATTTTTTTGTGAATGTATTGCTTTTATATTTTAAAACAATTTTTTCATCTATAGTCTAAATCCCTCCTCCTCAAGTTCAGTCAGCTCATTCCTAAATCACTAGCTCCTATGAAACACTAGAAAACAGTAACACAGAGGCCAAGGGAGACACTAAATGTGATTACAGCAGCTGTGTAACCAGGCAATCCAGTTCATTGTGTCCATTCTCTCTCACTGCTGTAATCTTTTCAGTGAGTGTGCTAAACACAAGCCTGACCATAGATATTCACAGCTCTAAAAACAATTGTGTGATTCTTTACATAGGCATGCAGTGATATTTAACATTGTTGTTATTGTCATAGTACCTTCAAGACACTGATGAGCCATTATACTTCACCTCTTCACTTAAAGAACACATATTAGAAGAGTCATTTGAACATAGATCATGACCTTCGAGCAATTTTCTTTAATGAGCACATCTATTCAGTAAAGCAAAGCACATCAATTGTAGGATTTCATACATCTACTGCAATAAAACTTTCACAAACTAGATTGTGCTTTTTTAATTTGTTTGCTTCACAAGCCTCCTCCACACTCCCCACTTCTCACACACACACACACACACACACACTAACTCACATGTTCCAAGTGGTGCAGTAATTCTGTTTTGATGTAAAATATCTTTCAGCCAGAAAAGTCCAGAGATTGTGAGTAATTTATTTAAATTTTATTTAATCACATTGTTTTAAAATAGTACAATCTGAATAAACCTTTTGTATTTTTACTTTAATAAACTTTTTCTTAAATCATAACTACTCCCTTCTGCCATTAACTGGGTATCCAAAATTTTACCATGCAATCGTTTTCATTCAGATAAAAGTCTAACTTACTAGTCAAATTGGAGCTGATTTTATACCTACAAAATATTTTATACACAAATGGCAATTAATATACTCAACTTCAAATACCAATATAAGAACAAATATGGGTAGCATTTCTAAATAACTAGGTGACTAAGAAAGAAAAAATATGTATTGATTAATAGAAATTATCTCTTCTTTTGATAATTTTTCTTGACTACTAAAATATCATCCCCATAAACATTTTCAGTCTTACATGCTAGACAATCATAAAATAAAATACAGTTTTGTTACTGACACTGGACGAAGCACAATGACTCACTCCTCTATTTGTTCCAATGGTGATCCATATCAATATATGATGTTGTTGACATTTATGTGCTATGAAAGAACTTTATAATCTAGACTGGGAGTCAGTAGAACTAGATATATAAAATCTAGGTGATTTGCATTTTAAATTACTTTTCTTGCAAAAAGTGAGCTCATACAATGTGGATCCATCCACCCAGGTGTCTTTTGAAACTGAACTCTCTCTGGCATCTTCCAATTCCAATGAGACTAAGGCCTTCAAGCTAGTTACACTAGCTTTGTAATCTTGGGCATTACTGGCCCCTCTGTGCCTCCATTTCCTTATATGAAAGATAAAAATATATTTCTTCATAGAGTTGTGATAAAAAAATTAACCTATGTTGTTATGAAGAATAAATCTATGTAAAGTCTTTAGAACAGAGTCTGGTACATAGAAAGTGCTATGTAAATATTAGTAACTACATCTTTTCCTACTGGAGGAGGTAAAGCTTGTTGTCCTATGCAAATAGTCAAAATATATTTGTAATCCATAAAGGAATGGCTGAATAAACTAGGGTGCACAGGTCACTTAAAAGGCATAACAAGGAAATGCATCTCCTTTTGCTCTGCCCAGTAAGTTCAACTTTATCGTACTTTTAATCGTTCATGCTAGAACCTAGATAGACAGTCCCACAACAGGGCAGTGTCTGGTGATGGTCCAGATAAAGGTCCAGGGAGAGATGAAGGCTACAGGCCCAGCTCTGTCTCTCACTCTCTGGTTGACTCTGGAGATGAATAACCTCACAGGCCTTCACTGCCCCGCTCTGAAAATGAGAAATAAACTGGGAAGGGGGAAGTGGATCCAGAAATCCTGAAGTCACACTTGGTCCCAAGATTTTATGACTTAGGAATTTACAATTTATGGATTTTCACAATTACAAAACACAGAAAACTCTTTGATATAAAGAAACTGACTCCACTGTGGTTATTCTTCAATCTCATCTTTTAAGGGGCTGAAGTTGGGAAGAGTAAGTCTTCTTCCATACTGCTACTAATCCATTTGTTACTAGACTCATCAGAGTCTCCTGGAATTTTCTTTTTCCAAGAGAGACCTAGCCTGGAAACCAAGGCAACTAAGGAATACAGACCCACTTAGTGACTACAACTGTAAATAGTCAATGACTAAACATGTGTTAGTTTTTCATTTATTTATCATTGTGTATAATTTCCAGTGCAACTGTGGGAGTTACCTGTCACTGTCTTCTTGTTATAGGTAAAGAAGTGAGGCTCAAAAAGGTCAAGTGACTGAATCAATGTGGCCACTAGACTACTCGAGCCATGTGGCTTCTATTTTACCAAAGCTGATATTTTTTAAATGGGGACAGAAACCATTTTCCCACGTTATTAGTTTCTAGAAATTGTGAATAAAATGTAATTATAAGACAGCAGAGAGGAATTAATAGTCAACTGACAGTTGAGATTTTGATCTGTATTCTCCTAATAACCTTTTGAAACATAATATTTTTTAAACAAATTCTACCTACCTATTTTCTGAGGAGACAGGTGGTCCAATAAGAGTCAAAAGCACGTGCCTTGCATAAAGTATAAATAAGCTTATCTTTCAGGTTATCTGAATTTTGCATTAAGTGTTGGCTTCTAAGTACCTAACCTGATACTTTTTCTTCGAAGCAATATTAGCTCCTTATAAGAATGATTACATACTAGTTCTCATCAAGGAATAATATGGACACTCACTGACTGTTTAACAGGCTATAAAATTTCCTTCGGTTTAAAGTAAAAGGTATTAATCAAAAGAATATACACTTAAGTAATATAGTTAAAACATAGTAAATGACACCTTACTTTAAATGTTGCACAGTGGAAAACACTGGCAAAATTGAGAATTTGTTGATTATCAAACATCTGCTAAATGTTCTCATTTATTCCAGGTCAACTGGCAGTACGATAGCCCTGACAGAACAAACAGCAAATGAAAAGAGCCTAAGGTGTATATCTAACAGACAGCATATTCAATCTTGCCTTTTTCATTTCCCACTGATCCACGAGATGGTCTCATTTTGTATATAATTAAACCATATTTATGTCAACCATCCTCAAAACAGAACCCTTGTGTTGCCAATTAAAAGATAAGTTGCCATTAGTGATTACACTTAGGCTTTCATAGTTTGTTTTTTTTAATCTGCTGTTAAATTAGTCAATTATACTAGAATATTCCATGACAGGATAAACCTGGTTACTATCAGACTAGTCCAGCCTTGCGTTTCTTTATTTTATTCTTTCCTGGTATACTCCACTTGAGTCATATGGAAATCGGCAGCAAATGAAGTTGAAGAAAGAGGTAATTACCCGTAATAAGGAGGTCTGTTAGATTTTCCCCCACAAGGAAGATTGCACTTTTCCTGGGTCTCCTCCCACCCCTTTAATTATCCCCTTTCCCCCCTTTTGTCAATTAGTCTGTAAAAGCCAAGACATCTGTTACCAACATGAAACCAACGGATGTGCATATTCCTAATCAACCAGAAACTAACTTTTCATACATATTTGCAGGTGATGGCAAGCATACTCTGATGTCCAGAAATGTAAAAACTATCAGACTGCAAAAAAAAGAACCAAATTTATTGATTTGCATGTATGTGCTATTCCTGTTAAAAAGTCAAATATTTGCTTGAGAAATATTACTTGTTTTGAATTAGATATGATTTATAGTAAGTTGTTTTTCTATTCCCTAGGTTTCCTCCATTTGGGGTCTATATGATAAAATATCTATTGACCAGGGTGTTACATAAATTTCTCACACATACCCTTTCTTTTTTTCCATCAGTTGATTCAATTTCCCTAATTTTAGAGAAGGCTAGTAAACAAAAAATTTTTTAATTTCAAAAAATTCTCAAATTTGACCTGCCAAGTATGTAATCATCATTTGCAGGCTTCTGAACTAACAAGATGAAAAGTTCAAGTTCATCAGTGTGCTGAATCTGAGAAGTATGACAGCAGGAGAGAAGCCAGACAACTAGCACTTGTGGAAGTGAGGCAAAGCCAGACATCCACAAGAATTTCAAAATCTGCAGGGTGGAGACCCAGGAAAGAGTTGATGTTGCAACTCAAGTCTGAAGACAGTTTGGAGGCAGAATTCCCTCTTCTTCAGGGGACCTTGGATTTTTTTTTTTCTCTTAAGGGTTTAAACTGATTTGATGAGGCCCACCCAATTATGGAGTGTAATCTACTTTACTCAAAGACTACAAAGTCTAATCCTAAAAATAACTTCACAGACCTATCCAGACTACTGTTTGACCAACTATCTGGCTACTGTAGCTAAGTAGGCACATAAATTAACCATCTCAAGCAGTGACTACATGGAAAATACTATAGGAAGAAATAAGGAAGGGTGATAGAAAGGAAAGCCAGAAGAGCACTCCCTAAAGGTATTATAGCATTAAAGGACATTATGATAGTGTGGTAAACCAAGTCAGGGATGTGTACACAGTGTCTTTGGACAAAGAGGCTGAACACTGGTTGATCCAGCTGGTGTTAGGAACAGAGGCAGTAGAACAGGCTTATTTGTGGTGTGTCTAGTGAAGCACAATTGTTCTTCATCACCCTCAGTCCCCTTCCCTCCCCCTTTCAAAATATCAGCCCC